GAGTTCTGGAAGGGAGTTAACCCCCAGTAAGGCCATCGCAATGACCATCTCCTCTTCGAGCAGTTCAAGTAATCTATAGAGACCCGCGCGTCCGCCTGCCGCGAGCGCCCAAGCCTGTAGCTTCCCTATTCCCACCGCCGTTGCACCCAGCGCGATTGCCTTAATAATATCCGTTCCGCGCACAAAACCGCCATCAACGATGATTTCAATCTTGCCACCCACCGCAGCCACAATTGACGGCAGCATTTGCAGAGTTGCGGGCGCATGATCCAGCGCACGTCCACCGTGGTTCGAAACATAGATCGCATCGGCACCGTGTTCGACTGCTAGTTGCGCATCCTGAGGCGACATGATGCCCTTAACAATGATTTTTAACCCGGAATAGGTTTTTAGTTCGTTAATCATCGACCAGTTCATGCGTGCACCCGCCAGTCCATCCAACGCACATTGTTGTTCCTGTGGCAGCTCGCGCGATTCCCTTAACAGGGATGAATAAGTCTGTTCAACGCGAAACGCCGTCTTCACCTTGCTCATCAAATCGCGCTCGCGACGAGTGTAAAACACCGTCTCGCTGACAATAGCGATGGCTTTGAATCCCGCATCTGCAACTGATTTTGCCAGTTCAGCCAATGGCGGCAAACCCGGCCGTGGATGAAGCGCGTAGATCAGCTGATCGTGCAGGATATTTCCCACAATCTGATAACCGGGCTCGGCATAACCGCTTAGTATATGCGTGATGCCAAAGTCACGCGCCACGTTGGCTGGTGCCAGCCCGCCCTCTTTATCGAATAAGGTCAGCGAACCTATTGGCGCTAACACAACGGGAATGCGCAGCGGTTGGCCTAACAACTGCGAGGCGGGATTCACTCGGCTGACATCACGCATTACCCGCGGCAGCAAGGCAACGCTATCCAGCGCAAGGCGATTACGGCGCACAGTGGTTTCAGTTTCCGTCCCATAAGTCAGGTAATCCCAGACATCTGCCGGAAGATTCTGGTTTGCGTGCCAGACAAGATCCTGGATAGTGGCAAACTGCTGGCGTGCGTCATTCATCAACATACTCGCTGTCAAAAAAAGGAAGGTTTATTATCTTGCTGCGCTAATCGCTTTTCTAATACATGCGCAATAACCGAGAGTGGATAGGCGATCACAATGTATATAGCCGCGGTTAAAGTATAAATTTCAGTTGGTTTAAAATATTCGCTACTCAATGAGTGAGCCTGCATCATCAATTCCGGCGCGGTAATTGCCGATGCCAGAGATGTTGATTTGATGATAATTATCGCGTAATTGGTCATAGGTGGAATAATGACACGCATCGCCTGCGGCAATACCGCATAGCGGAATGACTGTAATTCCGTCATGCCAATAGATAAGGCGGCTTCTTTTTGGCCTGTATCTACAGAGATAATACCGGAACGAAATATTTCGGACATGTACGCCGCGCTATTTAGCGTGATTGCTATTACTGCCGCCGCAAATGCGGAGAGTAATAATCCCAGCGTACCGAGGCTGAAATAGATAATCAGCATCTGTGTTAATAGCGGCGTGCCTCTGAATATCTCGACGAAAATAAGAGTAAAGCGTTGCAGCCATCGCCCGCCATAGAGCCGTCCCATGGCTAAAGCCAGACCCAGCACCAGCGAAAAAATGAAGGATAACCCCGCGATCTTCAAGGTAACGATCAAGCCTGCCAGCAAGCCAGGCAACCACTCAACAATCTGATTCATACGCGGTTCCCCAAACTTAATTGCATCCGCCGTTCAATCACTTTAGCTCCACGACTTAATCCCAGGCTGAGAACTAAATAAATTGCCGCGGCATAAAGATACAGGTAATCGGTGAATCCGATTTGGTTGGCGAGTGTCGTAACCCTGAACATCAGCTCTGGCACCGCAATCACCGACGCTATCGACGTATCTTTGAGTAGCTGAATCAAATAATTGAAATAAGGAGGCAAGGCGATTCTTGTCGCCTGCGGATAGAGAATGTGGCGCATCGACTGGAATTTTGTCATACCAATGGATAATGCAGCTTCTCGCTGTCCAACGGCCACTGAGGATAAAGCCGCACGTACTATTTCCGCCACATAGGCGGCGCCATGAAGTCCAAAAGCGATCAACGCGGCAGGAATGGGTTCCAGACGAATATCAAACGCAGGTAAGCCGTAATACAAAAAGAATAGCAGCGATAAAGTGGGAACAGAACGTAACAGGGCCACGTAGGTAGCGGCAAATATTCGCAACAAGCGAGACCGGCTGGTGCTGAGATAAGCGATTGCTGAACCCAGCATAGTGGCTAGTGCACCGCCGCCAAGGGTGACGATAATCGTCATCAACATGGCGTT